GGGTTTCCAGCTGGAGCCACAAGAGAAGCAGGACCTAAAGTCTCCAAGACTGCTTTCCACAAGTGCTTTCTCCCACCACAACTGCCTTGTGCTGTCACACAAGCAGAGCTCCCCCAGCTCTACCACGGGCTGCCCACCCAAGTCTGGGTGTTACACCCCCTTCCTTCCTCCAACAAATTGTCATCACAGCCCTGTTTCTGCCACCCCCTCCCTCACACAGTCCAAGATGGGAGAGTTTCACTTGAGCTGTGCTTAACTTTACTGATCACAGTTTATTTTTTGAAGCAGATGCCTCATTTTAGCCGCTGGGCCACGCCTTACATCAGAAACGAAGGCAGAGTGACATCCCAGAATGCTACTTCTCCCATCCCTCTCCCCTGGCTGCTTTTCTTTTTAAGGATACAATCCTCCATTAGCCTCCTCAGGCCTCTTTCATATCCATCCTTAGTGCTGCTACAAGAATTGAGGCTTCGATACAGACTAAACCTCAGCACGATCTAGTACATGTGTTGGAGTTAGATCCTTTCAAGCTCATGCAGAGCGCAGAGGGAGGACAGGGTTGTGGTGCTCCAAGGTGAGCCCACAGCGGGTGAAGAACGAGGCGCAGACCCTGCACAGGGCATCTGTTTCCTTCCTCAGCTGAGCCTGAGTGAAACCAAGTCATCAGAAATTGTTTCAAAGCCAAAACACCTAAAACTTTTTGAGATGTATGTGGAACAGCAGGTGAAATCCCCTTTAGCTGGTATCTTGAAGAGGACAGGGCATCTCAGCTCATTTCCTCGCTCAACACCCTCACTTGGTTTCCCCTCTCTTGTATTCAAGGCAGCTTCTGAGCCCCTTGGTCCCTATTTTGATCTCCTCTCCTCACCGAGGTTTGGCAGCATATTCCTTTCTGACCTTACAACTTTGCTCTCTACCTCATTCCCTGTCAGCCCTTTCTTCCCCACTCCTCTCTCCTCCAGGCGTGAGCACAGCTATTTATCAGCAGAAAACCTGAAAATGGTGCTCTCGGGCCTGTCTGTAGCACGTGGAGGTTATAATGCTCCTGTACATCCCTAGGGTGACAAAAACCGTCTCATTTTCTCTTCCAGTGAATGAAGACTGGTTAGAAGGACAGTGCAATGGGAAGATTGGCATCTTCCCATCCGCTTTTGTTCAGAAGTCAAACACGAAAGACCTGGAAATGTGATTTCAGAAGTGCTTAATGTGGTGGACATGGAAAAACATTAAGAATTCAACTGTTGCAATTAAGAAGTTTCCATATTAATTATTGCATTTAAAAATGGACTTATAAAAATATTATTGCTCTTTGAATTAAAAGCTTTATTTTTTATTTTACCTTTTGCATTGTTCTCTAGAACAGGGAGTGATTTAAAAAGTTGGTAATTGTTTTCCTGTCAGGAATACATTCAGTCCTCAAAACTCTGCTTACCAAGAGACTTGCCAGCAGTGGCTCTGTCCCACCCACCCTTCCCTCAGCAAAGCTCTTCTACAGACAGCGGCTGGGAAAACCCCTGAGAGGCTGGTGCCACTCGCATGTACAGCCCCACCAACACATCCAGAAGAGGAACTGGCGTTCAGGGAGCTACAGACACTGAAAGGCTGAACTTCCAACAGCATTTACTTCCTTAAAACATCACTGCCAACCCCAAGAGCTTCAACAAGAGACGCTGTGCAGCCTCGACCTGCTCCAGCTGACAATTCACTTTGAAACCACAGTGACTTTCAAAGCACCCACCAATAAAACTGCACACATTTTTTCAGCTCTGGGAGCCGTTACCTCAAAGCTTTTTCTCAGGAATCAGAAGATAGTAACTTGGAAAGACACTGCCTGGAATCTCGGCAGGTTGTAGGGCAGCGAAGTTGTCCCCTATATAAGAGCCTACTCAACTTTGAAGCTCTCTGCTCTGTCCAAGAGGTCCGTCCCCCTCTGCCCCTGGCACTACTTTCACCTTCCCCAGCTGCTCCTTCTGGCATTTTAAAATTCTCTACACTGCCCCATCCTCCAAACACACAAGCTGTAGATAGAACCAGCCACCTACAGCCTTGGGTGTGCTTTGCTTCAAAGAGGCTCAGGGCAGCGTTTTCCCCACTTTGGATCCTATCACATGAGTTCTGGAGAACCTCGCTCTCCCAATAACTTACATCTCATATTTAAAGAAACTTACTCTGAAGAGTTGTTTGGATACAATAAACATTGGTCATTCAAAAAAATCAGAGCATCTCTGTAGTTTTCATTGACACATTTGGCTGTTTAGAAACTGGCTGCAAATAGTCAACGTCTTGATTTAGAGGCAGGTCAATGGCAGAAGGATCCGTCTCCTCCAGATACTATTGCTTGTGCTCTACCAGGTTCAACAACTCCAGCCTCCAAACGAAGGAGAGCTTTGCAAGCTACTCCTGTCCCAGATTTTTGGTTGGGTACCTAAGACACACTGCACACAGGCAGCACAAAACCACGATCCAAGTATCTGCACCGAGCCCAAGCCAGAATCTCTGCCATTTATTTAGTTCTCTTTCAAATAGAAGAAAAAAGATCAACTTCAAACCTTCTTCTGACCTCTCCTGAAAAAATAACACATCTTTAAAAGTCTGCAGCCGAGTTACCCGGGAAAGAAATGCTACACACAGACCTGGATGGAGAGAACATGGTTTAATTAAAGGCAAAGCTGATTTCAGCAGCTGCAGTTCTTGCACAGACAGACAAAAAACACAAAAAAAGCTTACGACACAAACCAGTTTCTGTTGGGGGCCCCTTCCCTGGCTCCCCCCGGGGTGTCGGAGGGCGGGAGGGGAGTCCCAGCCCAGAGTCGGAGGCATTCCCGAGGCCGGATGCTCATGCACAAGTGGAAGGGTGCGGCTGGGACCCTGGCAGTGCCGGGAGCGAGATGGTGAACCTGGTTAGCTCGTCTGGGGTGCAAGAGTCAGTGACGGTTCCCAGAGTGGAATGTGGCAGCTGCCTGGGTGCACAGCTCGACACACAAACCGCGAGGGCTGGAGGGAAGCACACAGGGGTTCGCTTCAGGTTACCACTGGGTAGAAACATCACTTTTTGGGTTTTTTTTAAAAGGAAATACAGCTTTGAAATGCAACAAAGAACAGTGATGTTGCTATGGTGGAGATCGTGGGGGAGCTGCTCGGACCCCCCAGAGGGGGATCCCATCTCCTCCGTCTTCCCTTTTTGTATTCTTTGGGGCTGCCCAGGCTCCAGTGTCACTTCGACTCCTGCATGTGCTTTGCTCTGCAGCTGACCTCCAGCTCAGAGATCCTCTGAATCATCACACAAACCCCTACTGCTAAACACAGCAAACGGACATCGCGATTGTTTCCGTAACTTCCCTGGGAAAACTAACAAAAATGCTGTCCTTTTCTTTCCCGAAGCTTCCAGTCTTCCTTCCCGCTAATAAATACCAAATACAACGGCTTTTCCATTTCCCTTCTGCACCTTTTCACCTATGAACAGCAACTATGCTTTTCTTCCGTGCGTGGGTTACACACGTGTGTCCACGGGTGCCTTGAATTTCATTCTGAAACTGAAAGTTTGGGGCTGCAGCTGGGGACGGGGGGGCGCGGAGGGGACGGGTTTCTGCAGAACTGATGTGTGCCTGCGGGGCTGCGGACACTCCGCACTGTCCAAGCCGACTGTCGACTTTACCCAGCCCTGCTGGACCCCTGATTATTTTTCTGCAAGATGTTGCAGGTTGGTAATGAATCTACTAGCGTCCAGCGAAGATGGGAGGATGGAGAGAGAGAAAGAAAAAAAAGAAGGAAAAAACCAAACAAAAACCAAACCAAAACAAAAACCATTGAAAGCTTTCTACCTAGCTATTAAAATGAGTCAGGCTGTGAATGCAGAGGCTAGCCTGCCTGTTGTGGGGCTAGCCACTATGCTACAGTAAAATGTACAGGAATCAAACATTAATTTAAAACCCCATAGCCAGTAACTTGCTTGTCCAGCAGAGTGCTGCAATGCCCCACATCACCCATTACAGCTCAAACACCTACTGAGAGGAGGGCATTTCATGCTGGAGTCTCTAATCCACCCGTGGGCTGGTCAAAGCCTTTAGGTGAAAGGTAAGTGGTGTCAAGTGCTAGGCTCTCCTTCATGAAACTCCTTCGCTAGCCCAGGAGATCGAGCCCCACCTTGCCACCAACCACCTCTGACCGGAGCAGCAGCCGGGGCTTTCGTTGCTACACACTGACTACGAAGCACGTCTGTGTACGGAAGAATTCAGTGTGATCTTACTACTGAGATAGTAATAAAGATGTTTTAAGAGTAATTTCAACTACATTCTCAGTCAGCAAAGCAATCATTAATGGATTCCTATTTTATCTCCCCAAAGAGAGGAAAAGGATTGAGAAGTTCTCGTTGGCTTCTCCCATCTGCCCTTCGTTCTCAGCTTTTACTTCCCATGTGGCTGGGGACATGCACGATGGAGAAGGTGAGAGGCGGTGATACCGGGTTACTGAGTGAGACAAGCAGCAGTTCCTCTCTCCTTCCAGAGGGCCCAGGGATGGGAGAGTTCCTGATGTTGTTTTCTTGCACTGCAGACGTTTTTGTGCACACTCAGTGGGTTGGTGGAGCACTTACGCCCTCCTGACAGCAAGGAACAGAAGAGAGGGCTGCCACCTGCACAGGACCGTGTGGGCCAGTCCTGCAAACCCAACATGCCATGGTTTATGGAGCCTTCATTTGCAAGGGTGGTCACCTCTGTCTCAATGCGGCGGGTTCATGGTGCCTTGTCCGCGTTGCTGCTTCTGCTTCTGCTGCATTAATAGCTGCTCCAGAGCTGAAGGTCCAGGGTGCATCATGGAACTGGACCAGATGGACTGAAAACAAACAACCAACACTAGGACCTCCTTGGCCTTAGACAGCCCCCCTCTTACAGGTGAGAAAGCAGAGATAGCTTTCTATATTCTCCCCCTTCTCTTTATCACTCGTACCTGGCTTATCATGAAAGTTATCCAGACTTCAAAGAGGTCTTCTAAAGAGAGGCTCCTTGGAAGGAGCTCACCCTCCTCCAGAATCCTCATTACCATAAAAATTCATCCCACATTAACGATTACTCATTTTAGACTAGTCAAAGCAAATGTTATAATTTCTTCCAGTTCTGCCAGCCTGGTCTTGTTCCACAAAATATTCTAGAACAGCAAGAACTGGAGAACTCTGACATCTTCCAGCACTGGTCACACCTCCCACATTGCCTCAGGCTGCAGGAAAAACCTCCCGCTTCTGACACTGAACTCTGACACTAAAGCTCATCACCAGATCTTCCAGCCCCACAGAGGAACACCCATTCCTGAGCTCCGTTTCAGTCTAACATACCTTCAGGCTCTCCATAAGCACAGCTGAGGAGTCCTCCATAGCAGGGGGACCTTGGGCTGCCCAGGTGCCACTGGGAGCACTGGACTGGTGCCAGCTGCTCTCTGAAGAGGACGATGTTGCTGGGAGATAGTCCAGACCAAACCCTCCCATTGCTAAAACGGGAGAAAGACAAAGTTGAAAGGGATGTTACAAAACCATCCCAAAACAGAGGCCACCAGCTGGCTTCACACGAGCCTGGGACCCAGCACTTGCCTGGCTTATCTGTTTTCCAGCGGTCTGCGACTCTCCTGTCTCTGTTGTCTGGAGTCCCGATAGGTCCGAAGTTGGAGAAGGGAACAGAGTTGTGGTTATGGGTTGGAGGGGAGCTTGGCAAGCTGCTGGGGTTGGAGGAGTGAGGAGACTGGCTGGCTGGTGTCGAATGATCTAGTGATTACAAAGCAAGACGAAAAAGGTCAACAGAAATGGCAGGAACCTCCCCATCCCATTTTGAATTACTTAGTGCTGCTGCAAATTCTGCCCAGTTTTCACCAATGCTGAAGGTCAGTTTCTATCCCCTCCATGAGGGTGTTAAGTTCTGAGTGACATTCTTCTGTGCTACACAAGAGCAGAATTACTGTGTTTGATGTGTACAAGTGTTTACCAGAAAACCAAAACCCAGGAAACCTCAAGAAGCCTGGCTAGCCAAAGAGAGTTTTCCCCATATTTCTTCAATAACTTTTCTCAAACTAAAAAAAGAAAAAAAATTTTCTGTCTCCCAAGCTTGACAGGCCAATAAAAAAACCAAAATGTTAGACCTGGAGGAGTTTGCAAGTTTATAACTTGAATTCTCAAGTCTGTGAATGTTTTACACTTTGATGAGTTTTAAAGGAATTGAGATCAGAACCTAACACTGAGCAGACCAACCACAAGCATGGAAAGTTCCCTCCTATCTGCAGGCAGGAGGGAACGATGCCTGAAGACAACACAGCACAGCAGGGAGGTCTTGAACAAGGAGATGAAGGGAGAGAAAACTGAGACCAAATGAGCCATAACCCTGCTAGAATAAAAGCACTTCGCAGCTCCTTCCATTTCACCCACAATGGTTATTCCTGGTTGGCTGCAAAAGTCCCAGTGCAACCAAAAATCTCATCCAGTGCAGATGTTTAAATGGATTTAAAATCCATTTCATTTCTTAGATTCAACTAATTTCTCCTCTCATGCTTGTCTGGATTTTTAGTGACAATAGAATCATGACATAATAGTTATCATTTATGCCCTTAGGGTAATTCCAAGGACAAAGCTTTGCAGGCTGCTTAACAGTAAAAAAAACAACCACAAACAAAAAGTCCACACTGTCATGTTTTCCTCCACACTCTTCAGTCACATAGTTTCTCTCTCTTTCAAATCTCTACACTATGAAATCCAATTCTTCCTGCTCTTTCCAAAGCAGAAATACTGAAAGTATATGGATGTTGAAGTTAAAGTCTTACTCCCAAATGCTTGTCAGGAATGTAAGGTAAAGACATTTCAGGATTTAACACCTCCTACAACTTTTATCCTGCTCAACTACCTCAATTAAAATGTGGGTTCTTACACTTTATTAATTAAAGAATCCCCTCATGTTTCTGAGGATATATAAAGAAAATCAACCAGAAACCTTCAGACATCTTGTCAAGCAGGTTATTTTTTTTTTTTTTTAATTTCCAGTTACATTTAACATGCAGTAGGTTCAGAATTAACTCAAATCCTCTTAAATCACTATAAGAAAAATCCTACCAGGATTACCTGAGCTGGCTGGAAGGGATGGAGACCACGGAGTCCCTTCAAAGAGAGAATATAGTGAAGTCTCCTGATGGGCAACTGAAGGGGTGACTTCTGTTTTTGTGCTGGTATTCATGTTTTTCCCATACACCTCATTGAACATGCTGTTGTTTGGATATCTTTCCTGGGGGGGGTGGGGGGAAGAAAAAGATTGTTAAGAGTTGAGGTACGGGGTTTATTTCAAACACTGAGACTGTACAAAGGAAACACTTATAGGTCTAAATATTTTCCTAACTCCTTTTTCACTCCCCAGCCTCATTATCTTTGACCATTTTATTTAACAAAGTCCATAACATTCTGAATGAGGCTTTGAGCGACCTGGTCTAGTGGAAGGTGTCCCTGCTGCTGGCAGGGGGGTTGGAACTGGATGAGCTTTAAGGTCCCTTCCAATCCAAACCACTCTATGATTCTATGAATCAGGACAGATTTCTCCTGGCTGGACTGCAAAGCCTTCACAAAACCTTTACATTCCCAATACTCACAAAAACTGGATCAAGACCCTGCTCAGTTCTTCAGAAGAGAACGGATAATCCATTGCTCTGGAATAAAAACCTGCACACTCTGAGATTCAACAGTATCTCTGCTGAACTACAGCCAGGATGAATTTGGTGGGAAGACAACTGATAAAAGCAAAGATAACCTTGCTGATACAGACTGAAATTAGGCACGTGGATTTTTTGCAGGTTTGCCATGAGTTTGAACTAAAGGATATCACCACATTACTTAGTTTAATGGCAAACTTGAACAGCAAAGAACTGCAGACTCTGGTCCTCACTTACCTGATTAAGAGAAAAGCCACTGAGGGACAGGAAAGATGATGACTGAGACATCAATTCTGATGGTTTTTCCAGCAGGGATTTCTTCAGACACCAAAAAGGGGAAAAGAGCAGTTAGCGTTCAGTGCAGTGAGAAGGAGGGAAGTATGAGATCAGAAACTGCCAAGGTGGTTTTGGTCACATTTAAAACCTTCCTTGTATTTTAGCTCCAACCACCTTGGAGGACGGGGGGGAGCAAACTAACAAATGCCAAAAATCAGTAGTTTCCTCACTAAATGTAATTAATATCTAAAAATCAACAATCATGACAGCTGAGAGTCTCAGACAAACCCCACTGCCAGAACAGCTGTTCAAATAGTAAGTGTAATACCCTGATACATATAGAGGGAGACTGCTGCCAAAAACACCCCTGTGGTTGTGTAAAACATTGTACAAATGAGACAGGATCCTTCCCAGTGATCAGAGGACTCCTTCAAACCTGATTAGACTCTTGCTTGTTGTGACTGACAGAATATTTGTTGGTTTTGAGAGTATCCCTGCTGTACAGACATTCCTACAACAGTAAAAGCAGCCAAGTGTTGTGATTTTTTTTTTTAAATTGGGTTAAACAGTCCAAGTTTAATTTAGTGCTCTCTCATTTTCTTTATAAATTACTGTAGAGAGAAGGAAGAAAACCCCCAGTGTTTAAAACAGAGGTTCCAAAACTCCCCTGGGCTTCCACATTAAGATACTATGGACCATGACCTTTTCCATCCTCTATGCCCCCTCTCATACAGCTGTTATTTCCAGCATATTTCTCAGCTTTCTCTTCAGTTCTTAATATGATTAAGGAGGGAAAAACAGCATCTCTGAAACAAGCCTATTTAGGGAAGAAATAGGATCAACGATCATCAATTACAGAAGCAAAACCAAAATGATAAAGCTCGGCTGGTGGACAATGAACACCACCAAATTTAGGATCAGGATGGCCGAGCCATAGAGTTAGTGAAGCCACAATAAACCTGTGTGTGATCCAAACTGAAAGCTGCAGTCTGGTTCCAAATAAAAGCCCTCCTGCACTCACACCAGCTCAGGATGTCAGATGTTTTAAAATTTATTGTAATTTATTGTTCAAACAACAAAAACCTAAACTGGCGTCCCCCTCTCTCTAACGTGGTCTCAATATCTGAAATATCTTTGCTTTTATCCTCTGAACCTCAGACAAACAGCCTCATTTCCTTGGCAAGCAGCTCCCAGCTTGTTAAGATTTTTTCAAAGCAACAATTCATTACTTTGAAAGCACGTTTTAAAAAGCAGACAAAATTCACACTCTGCATATCCACACAGCTTGCACGGAGCAGAATCTCCTTCCATTTGTCAGCAGACAGCAACTGCAAGAGCTTCAAAGGCAGCTGCTGAAGAAGCAGCTATTAGTTTCTTAGCAAAGGTATCTCACGAGACAGAAATGGGTGTCTGTTTTGCTACTGGCTCCTTGTGATGACATGTAGAATACGTGAGGAATAGTTTGAGTAGAGTCACAAATAGTTCTTCTTTGTTACTGCTACAGATCTGAAATAGTATTTATTAAACACACTAGAAAGTTGTACTGCATTTTCAGAGGCAATTTACAAATTCAGCAGCTCTCAGACCCTCCAGCTGTTGCACCAGGAAGGTTTTAATACACAAATGTAGGAAGAAACCTCTCTCAGTCTGTCAAAAAATAGACTGTATTTCTACAGGAGATACTGATTATTTAGCCAGTTGCCTACATTTTTTTTTTTCCAGAATCATCTTGCTCTTTTACAATCTCTTCTGCACTTAGTAGGGCAGTTTCCTCTTGTCTTTATGTAATTTTTATATGTAGATAATAATAATAAGCCACACTTGTTCTGATGAGTTCCCACAGCTAAATCTGTGCTCCCCCTTGCCCTTATTAGTAAGCCCACACAACTGCAGAAGAGGGAGTGTATTAAATGATGCATCAACGTCTCTCCTGTGGACTGTACTTACAAAAACCACCCCACTGTTATTCAGATTTCTGAACAAATTAGCAGGTTTGGATTTGGCTCAAGAGCTACACCGTGGGCCTTCAGCTGGTCTGAGCTCTCACATGGAGACTAGCTCAAGGGTGAGGCAGGGAAGTGGACAGGAGGGACAGGGGAGAGAAAGGAATTTCACATTTCTTATCATTTCACAGAAGAAAAGAGATGCCAGTTAAGAGTGAGAAGCAGCAGTATTACATCAAATACATACAAAGAGGCTTCGTCCAGGAAGAGAGGCGAGAGGCCCCAGCAGAGCTGGGTAAAGATCAGGAGGATTAGAGAAAATCAGCTCTTCCTCCTCCTCCAAGGCAGCCAGACTCTTTAACAGGTCCGGAGGAAGCAGAGGGGAGCTCTTGGGGTCCTAGTGACAGAAATGAGCACAGTGAGACAACAGAAGGCAGAAAGGGGAACAGCAAGAGACGGCGAGGAGAGGTGAAGCCACAGCAGGACGAGAGAAAACAGCAAGAGAAAGGCAGAAGGTGGCACGCAGGAGTGCGAGGTGAGAAAGCAGCGCAGCAGAAGTGTGTCAAGAAAACACACAGAGAGAAATCACTGAGCAGAAAACAAAACGAGCCACGTGGCCTAAGGCACGCTGGGAGCAGCGCTGCACCATCTGAATGATGGGCAGTCAGTTTTAATTAGCGGAGCCTGTGCTTCCCACTGCATCCACGTCAAATACTGAACCTGTTTTCGCATCCAAGGACAAGGAACACAAAATCTTACAATTATTCTTCCACAGCTGACCCGTGGGTAATTTAGGTTTCAAGTAAAATTATATTTGCATCTTCTTCCCTCCTCTATTTGTGGAGTTTAAACCCCAGGAGACTCTTTTCCACCGCTAATGGCTGCTACCCAGCTGACCAGATCACTGGACCAAAAAGCCCCGTGAAGCGCTGGTCAAACTTGACATCTAAAATTTTGTGAGGGATGCTGTAGACAGAAGCATTATGGGGACAGCTTCTGTCCATACTGCACTGCGCTTGCAACAGGGTGAGGTTTCCCTTTCAGGGACGAGAACAAGGCTTTGACCCCGTCTCCATCTAAAAACCACAAGCTGACATCAGGGTAGAGGCAGTCTCCTGAATATTGTCTGGCTTTTCTCTCTGAAGGAGAAGCCAAGTGATCTCAGCTGACCCTCTGAAAATCCTGAGTGCATTTACAGAGGCGTATCTGACCGAAGCTTTACAGAGGCCTCTGTTTAAGTTTCCTTCCAAACATCACCAGAAACACTCTCGGACAACTCCAGGACTGTTCATAAATAGCAAAGACTCCAAGTATTATAAACACCAACATGAAGCACAACTGCATGAGCAGAAGCAAAGTATCTCATTAGTGCCACCAAGAGCTAAGGAAGTCATTCAGTGCTCTCACTGTGTGCTGGGATTTGCAGGAAAAACAAACAAAATAATCCAAGACAAGACTGCTCCTACCATCCTCAATTTCCAGCCTCACTCTGACTACTGCAGCCTCAGCCACTCGACACACAAAATGCTATATATAGGGTCTTAAGAGTTCATCTAATGAATAATAATTCAACTGCAATTATTTGGATGGCTTTTATGGTTTTCATCAGTTGCCAGACAAGAATTTTCCCCAAAATTATCAGCTGCCACATTTCTTGACCTGACAGACACAGCGCAGAGATCAGTGTCACGTCTACACTGAGCAAGACTTACATCTACTTGAAACCAAATCTTCAAAAGCCAGATCCCACATACAACCATCCAACTAAAGTGGCAAATCCAACCCTGTTTGCTGGAATCTCATTTACCAATAACCAGCTCCCTACTAAATAGGCTCCCGTTGACCTGCTTGGGCCTACAGGGAATTCCTGAAGTGGGGAAACTATCCTAGAGTTGTCAGGAATACCAGAGCCTCACTGGTTTTCACCACTTACAGCATGGATCTTTACCTCAAAGGTCATCCTGGAGACAGCATCCTGCTCTGGGCGGAAGACTCCTTGCCGTTTTCCCCTGCGGTCCAGGTTAGATTGTTGTGCCATCACCCTGTTGTCAGCCATGCCATAGGAAGAGTCCCAGTAATATTCTGGCACCTTGACTTCTGAGGGGTTCTGGTTATATGGCTCCATTGGGAAAGGCTTCATTTTTTTCTCCAGAGGTTGCTGTTGCATCACGGGAGGCTGTAATGACTGTTCAAATAATTTGAGAGGGTCCTGGGCCTGCAGGTAATAGGACTGCTTGACGGGCATGATCTTCCCCAGTGAGCCTTGGACTTGAGGTGGGTTCCAGAGCTGCTTTGACGAGTCTGTCTGCGGATACTGAGGCAAAGACACATGATTTCACCAGCAGGTCCGAACAATTAATATTAACTGAATGCCTAACTCCATTCAAATTGTCAATCTGGCTCACTTGTTATAGACATTCCACAAACATTTTGATTTGTGATGTTATTCACCCAAAATTCAGTCTCAGTACTCCTTAGTCAAGCTCCACACCCATAGCCAAGCATAATCCTTACTCAAATCCAGTACCTTATAACCACTTTTATTAAAGTACTGAGCCAGCCTTTTGCTGCCCAGGACACCAGGAGGGTCTCACCATCGAGTGCTTACATGCCAGAAGGGAGATTTCCTCCAACGTGATGTGAGCACAAAACTTATTGCTGTGAGGGAATTGCCACTGCAACCTAGTTAGCCAAAAGGAGAGTGAGTGAGGGTGAAGGTTCAGACTTGGTTTGGGAAGGCAGGTTTGGAAGGCAAGCTTTAATTCTGTGTCTCCCAGGTCAGATTTTATGCTGACCCTGGGACAGGGAAGATGTGCCTTCTGTCTTATATTGAGCAACTACATTTAACAGTTCATTACTCAAATAAGAAAACTACAAAGGTCTTAGACAAAAATACCTGATCAAAAATACCACCTTCAGATCTTGTCTATTAACAGAAGCACACAGAAAATCCATCCCAGTAGGTATTTTGTCCTCTTAGAGGATGGTTATGTTCACACCCACTAAATTCATAGAATCACAGACTGGTTTGGGTTGGAAGGGACCTTAAAGCTCATCCAGTCCCAACCCCCCTGCCATCAGCAGGGACACCTTCCACTAGACCAGGTTGCTCAAAGCCTCATCCAACCTGGCCTTCAACACTTCCAGGGAGGAGCAGCTACAACTTCCTTGGGCAACCTGTTCCAGTGTCTGACCACCCTCACAGTGAAGAACTTCTTCCTAATATCTCATCTAAACCTCCCCTCTTTCAGCTTAAACCCATTTCCCCTTGTTTTGTCATTAACTGCCCTAATTACAGTTATTTTTCAAATTTGCCCAAGAAGTTGACAGATCAAAATTCCACGCTACGGTCTTTAACTACAGTTTTTAACAGGTAATCCAGGAATGTTGCCATTTAAACGAAGCTGAGCACATTGCATTGGTCAAGTTTACCTGCTGAAATCCGGAGTGGTGTGGTGGGCTCTTCCCCAGGCCCTGCACAGCTTTCGTAGGGGACTGCTGCTGCTGTTGCTGGGCCAGAGCTTGGACCTGTAACTGGCTTGCGGACTGTGCTGTTGCCTGAGCTGGTAAAGATGAGAGGGGTTGCTGGGAAGGAGGTGGCGTTTGCTGAGGTCCCTGGGTCATTGGCCCTGGTCCGGAGGGCCGTTGCTGGCTGTAAGGAATGTGGGATTGTTTCCCACCTTGCACCTGGTTTCCTGCAGGCGAGTGAGCTGTGGGCTGGAGGAAGGTTCCTGGGACAGAAACACCACCTGGGAAGGTATACCCCGTGCTCATGGAGAAAGCCACAGGAGGGGGGACAACGTAGGTTGGAGGTGGAAACCCTGGGAAAGATAAAAAAGCACCTTTAATGAAAATTTGGCAAAACAAAGAAAACATTTAGTGTGACTTCTTGGTTTTGGTTGTTTGTAGTTTTGGGGTTTTTTTTTTTCCCCTGTTTTGCTCCTTTAGCCCATGAGGACAGGAAACACCAAGTATCATTTGTATACCTGCACCATAATGTTCTTTCTCATGGCTGTGATCAAAGGGTTATTCAGAGTTTGTTCTCGAGTTTTCTCACAATATTCCAGGCAGTATTTGGGAGAGTCACACATTTTCCCTGCCCCTGCACTCACACCTCAATCTCCTGTTTTTTTCCCCCCACTACCTTTTTCTTTTACCATCCTGGGGTTTTTTATGCTTTACCCCCAAAATTCCCTCCCCCTCAAATGCACATTTCAAGGGACTAAACTTCTGGAGCAATGGACAGAAGCAATCAGTTAGTCTACTGACTCCTCCCAGAGGATCACCAGTCTCAGGATCAATTTCGATAGAGACAGACAGTAAGCAAACAAATCCTCATCTCCACAAGATCAATTTCTTCCCTGGAGTTCACACTGAAAAGGCAGGTTTGGAAGGCAAACTTTAATTCTGTGTTGCAGAGGTCAGATTTTATGCTGACTCTGGGACAGGGAAGATGTCCTTTCTGTCTTATATTGAGCAACTACAGCTTTTGGGAAAATAAAGCTTCCAGCTATTTTGTGAGCAAAGAGGGACAGCAAGGTATGACAGGAGCACTCCACAACAAAATGGAAACACACAATGCAGCCACAACAGCAGGTAAGACCACATAAATTACAGCTTTAAACATGAGCACCACTACAAAAGAAACTGAGCTTTAAAGAAGAAAGCAGTGATTGATCTTTCATCATGGAGTCCCATGCACAGAGAATGCTTCCTCCTGAGCTAGCAGAAGACTTTGTCATGTTCTGACTAACTTCAGAAACAGCCTACTGTGAAGTTCCCTGATCTCACACCCACTAAACAAGAAGGAAGGTGGCAGATTTCATGACAGACCTTGATTCCAAAGCATAAGGAATCTTATTAACCTCGTTTCAGCTCTGCTATGCCCCTTCTTTACTACTTTGTGAGATGCTCAACATGAGAATGTGTGTTCATTAAAACAGCTCCTACCTTCAGAGGCTATAACAACCACTATCACAGGATGTTCTTTGCAGTCAACAGTAAATCACACTTCAAAAGAACAAGGCAAATTACCTGGACGGCTAGGAAGGGGAGGGAAGGCTCCTGGGTGATGAATGGGGATGAACTGAGAACTGCTGGCCTGACTTGGAGTCTGAGTTACAGGTGTTTTCCTGGCTTCAGACACCGGAGTCTTCCTCATCTCCGTCTGGGACTTCACCTAGTGCAAAAGAAAGTAAAAAGAAATTAGCAACTTCTCCTGTAATTACTCACATCATGTCTCAAGCAAAAAAAAATGTACTCCCAGATTGTCTGAGAGATTATTTTCTTTTCCTTAAGTAACTGGGAGAGGTTTGGAACACAGTATCCCAGTTCCCTCTCCTCACTGACCTCAGGCAGGTCGTTACCCTGCCTCTCCTCAGGCACTCCTTGCCTCACAAAAGCACTCTAAGGATATCTACCCAGCAGACTGCAACAGGCTCCTTCTCTAGCAAGAGAGTGGGAAGTAGACATAATATCATCCTCAGACCATACAAAGAACTTACCACACTGCTCACCTGCAGTGCCTTAAAAACAAAACAAAAAGCTCAGATGCTATTATGCTTCTCCTAGAGCACTGCTTCAACCTAACTCATGCTACTTACCTGCAGCACCTTAAAAAACAACCTACCACGTCCTTCCTAGGGAACTCTCTCAGCCTAATCCACACAGTGATGCACATGCACAGCCTCCTGCATACCAGGAAATTCTTTTGACTGAGAGCATACAAGACAAAAAAAGCAGAAGTGCTTCACCCCTTTCAGTTTACTGTGTAACTGTTGTATGTTCTGTTAATAGAGCTGTACCAGATAAAGGCAGAGAGAAGAATGTAACGTAATGTTTACCTGATTCTGAGTCTGCTGTGGTCTGGGTCTTCCTGGAGAGGAAGACAGAGGGGAAGACTATTTTCCCTTTCTGTTCAGCTGGGCAGAACTGCCTGGAATGCAAGATGGAGCAGGCAGGAGAAAAAAAAAAGACAGCAAGCATGGAACCTGGGCAATACAGAAAGGGCCCAGGAGCAGACCTGATGCCAAGCCTCAAAGGTGATTGAAAGAAATGAGCTTTATCAGGGACCAAATTAAAAAAATCCAAACCAAACAAACCACAATTGTGTGGGGTTTATCGCAACATTTAGTGCTGCTGAGTTAAAAGGAGTTAGAGGGCAGGTCTCTTCTGCCAAAATACAGTGGTAAATGGGTAGATGCATTCAAATGCTTTCTTAAATTCTTTCTCAAATAGTCCTGAATTTCCCCATTTAGAGATTACAGGACTATAGTGTATTTTTTGGGTTTAATTAAAAAAGTAGATTGTAAGACTGGGAGGTGTGGGTGTATTTTTGATCTCCTGCTAGCAAAAGTCAGGAGGGAACTCCACCTCAAGGTTCTGGCTGATGCTAAGCACCATGAACGATGCAACCCCTGCTCATGCCACATCCGTTCACTGCCTACCTCTGCCCTTCATCACATTCTGTCTGTTCAGTTTATATCATCCTGTTCCTTTCTTCTCCACAAAGAGCCAAACATTTTTATAACCCAAACTGAGATCTATGCCTTCTTTTATGGCAAAGTTGGAGAATTCAAAGACACTCTTCCTGCCACAGGATTTCAAATCATGAGCTGTAGTCCACCATAAACTCAAAGCAGCTATAACACCTTTCCAAAGGTGGCTTCTAAAAGACCCCACACATGATTTATAGTTAACTTTTAAAAGCTAAATAGTTAAAACTGATTAATCAAGACAGACAAATTGCAGTTGCTTCCTTTCTTCTACTAGACCTAACCTCAAAAGTGCCAGTACTGCCAAATCCTTACTTCCCCAGTGGTCCTGAGGGCTTCTACACAGTGCTTGGGAGAAGCATCATTTCATCACAGCGACCTCGTAAGAGTAGGTTACACCTTGAGCAAGACTGCATGAAACCTTCCTCATGTTATTTTCCCTAAAGAACAGAGATCCATCCTATGTCACACTGTCACAATCCTGTCTGAGCATGGAAATTTTCCACTTATTTGTGGACTAATTACTTTTGTAAAACGTTCTTAACATTTTTGCTAAGTAGGAGCTGCACCATTGGCAGCATTTGGGCTTTGGGAGGCAATGAGCTACGGAGAAGATAAAAGCCTGAAGTATCAAGGAAGGCCAAAGCAGAGCACTAAGAGAACATGAGTCAGTGCAAAACCTACACTGGTTTCTCCTCAGTGAAGGGGAAGCAAACCTTCCCCATCTTCTGGAGTAGGTCTGGATAAGTAAGTCCAGTAAACTATATAAAACAAAAGGATTTCATTGTCATAGTTGCCATAACAAATACAGCTGACAGAACTAAAAAGTCAAAATTAATTTCTGTTCAGTAAGAAATGAAGAGCAACCAACATAAGATTCTGCTACAGCTGGGTTTGAAATAAGCTTTTCCTGGGTTTGTTATCTCTTAAGATTAAGACAAGCAAATTTCTGATAAATCAGATGGGTTACAATTAAAATACCTTCCCTATCCAAAAAACTATACATACTTCTTAGAAGATCTGGTAGGTTTTATTGGCCTCAAGTCCTTATTCTGCAAGACAGGGGCATGAACACTGACACTGGGAGTTGTGCTTAGGCCTGCAACCACATTCCAGGTGTGTTCAACAAATAAATAAGAAACCTGCTGTTCTAACTCACCTAAGTTGTTTTTCAGATACCAGACTCTTGTTCAGTAACTCATGAATGATTGCCACATGGCTTCTGTAGGCTACTCCCCTTTACCTCCCCCCCTTGGTGGGACCCCCTGCAAAACCAACTGCATAACACTGCCAGGTCAGACCTTTCATTTCATAATGATTACATTTAACAGCAAATCATGAGGAGGAGAACAAGAAGAATGATCCAATAATCCTAACAGCACAAGCTGGTAAGACAGAAAGAGCTGGTTTGTCTAGCCTAGGGAAAACAAGACCTTACTTACACAGGCCTTCAGAGCAGTTGTAAAGAGGAAAACTTAGAAAAACTGACAGGTTTTTTAGGTAAATTATAGCCTCCATCACTATCCATGTCATCAGGGAATGACTGGGATGCAGCCAAACTATCCAGGTACAGATCAGATCGACCCTGAAACTCTACACCCTTATTTACTACAACTCAATGGAAGCCAGACCAGTAAATTCACTGTTTACTTACAAGATGAGCATTTTTGTACATAACGTTCATAGAAACAGGGCGAAAAGCATGCCTCTCAAAAACATGACTTAGAAAAGAGCAGCTGATATGAAAAGCAACAATTCTGAGCAAACATCTGAGGACAGAATGATGGTTGAAGTGCAGTGTGGCTTGCTTTATTTCCACAGAGGGCCACCTGACTGCAGGCACAGCACGGAGTGTCTTATTGCACATGAACAACAAGGTGCTTTTGTGATGTGTTTCATTTAGTGAACATGCACAAGTCCACTGAATCAAAAACACAGAGGCCCCAACTCCTTCACAACAGACCACAGCATGGGTAAGAGCACAACTATGACCTGGCCACGTCAACTGCCTTGGCAGCCTGAATAATTTGTGGAACAATAGGTAGAAGTCTGGTTTTTAAGAGAGTTAACATAGCAAAATCACCTTGCATTGGTCCCTATCTTTTTCTCCCCAACAAATTGAGACAGTACCAAGGAAAAGAGCAGAGATCCAACGATCACTAATATCTGGGCTTTGTGATAGATGTCTTTATTTTTTTTGTGCATTAGCTGTACCTGCAGTGCCCACAGTGAGACCCCAATTCTCCTGTACTCTATACAAGCAGTGATGGCCCCGACATGAACACTGCACTGGCTAAGAGGCAGTATCCCTTTGATCTAAAGGCTTACCTGAACTGCCACGTTCTGCTTTCCTGCTTCCTGCATCTTATCCAAGCCGCACTTCTTGGTCTCATTCTTTCTTTTATTGTTATCCTTCTTTCCATCGTTCTTATTGGCTACTATTCCTTTGCTATAGTCCCGTTTTCTACCTATATCTTTAGGGGGGTAGATTCGCCCTTGCTCTCTGTTCATTTCCCGTGGCTTGATGTTCTCTTTGAACGTGACCATTGGTTTTTCTCCTGCGTCACAGTTGCTGTTCAAGCTTCTGCCAGAGGACAGAACTGATTTGAGTCCAGGGCTCCCATCTGTAGATAGCGGCTCTGCAATAGATGTGTCTGGCAAGGCGAGACTCTCTTTGGCTTCACTAGGGTCCTCTAGTAATAATTCCGGGATTTCCGTCAAAAACAACAGCTTTCCTACCTCATTTTCACACTGAATCAACCTGAAAAAGACAGAAAGGAATTGAAAAAGCAAATAGGAATAGTTTTTCACAGGGTAACCCACTTCCTCAAATTATAAAAGCAGAAAGTCGACATATGCACCACGCAGCATTTCACCTCCAGTGACAAGATGATGTTAGATCACATCTCCCAGCTAAGGGCATTCTCTAGCATGATGTAACCTCACATGCTAACACTCCTACTACCACTTCAAATAGCTGTGCTGCAGTAGCACTAAAAAGGAATCAAACATGATGCTTTACTCCAAATACATTCCCTATGATCATTAGTCTATGAAGTCTCCTTCTCTGGAGACATCCAAAACCCACCTGGACGCCTTCCTGTGTGATCTCATTTAGGTTCCTGCTCTGTCAGGGGGACTGGACTGGATGATCTTTTGAGGTCCCTTCCAATCCCTAACATGCTGTCATTCTGTGAAGCACTGGCATGCTGACCCACAGAACATGTTATCAGTGCCCTCAGCACCTTGCAGCCACATTTTATCTAATTGCCATGTCAACTAGTGAGGAAAATAAAGCCCAACTGTGGCCACCTGTGTTACCCAATCTCACAGCAGCAACTGAAACACAGAGATGCCACTTGCAATTACCTCGGCTGGTTATCAGCGATCCATTTGCCTGTGAAGATCAGACGTTGCTGCCGTATCCGACGTTGTTGCCCTTCCTTATCCCCTGTAATTGCTTGGTGGCCTTTGGAAAAATCCAAGTTCCTGATATTGAAATAGGAGGTGGAATGATATTAATTAGACAGTCTCTGCAATGTTTCTTTAGAAATACAACTGGGTCAGCATTACTCCATTTTAAGCTGTGAAATTTCACCAGATCCTATTCAAAACACAATAGTTATGGATGTCTGATTTACAGATGCAATGCTCTTCAGGTCAGATGCATCTACATTAGAGAGGTGTGGGTTTTAGTTTTGGTTTTTGGTTTGGTTTTTCTTGTGTTTTGTGGGGTTTTTTTGTTGTTTTTTTTTTCAACAAAAAGATGAAAGCTTATCTGTGTGATAACTAAAAACCACAAAAATAATACTGGGTGAATGCATCTAATATTGGCAACATTTCTGCATGATGTTAGGTACAGGGATACAGTTAAAATCAGTATAAAAAACAGTATAAAAACCAGCAAAATAAAACCACACCAAGCAGTTTTCATGTAGAAGTATTCCTTTCCTCACTACTTAATTTTTTCCCCCTTTCAGTTTACAGAACAAAACCAAAAAAAGGCATAAGCAATATTATAAGCTCATTATTTTCCCCAGAGTTTTACTGAAGATTTACTCCATGGAGACTCAAGTCCTACGCTGCCTACTGCAGCTCTTTTGCAAAGATACCTACACCAATCTATACAGCAGTAAGTATTCATAAATAAGATATTGCAGAGAACAGGTCAATGTCCATTAGAGCAGTGACATCCACAAGAGTACAGTTTCCTTCAGCTGTCACTCACCTGAACGAGGGCCTCAGAGCCAAGAATCCCTGCAACTCAAATTCTTCTGGAAGGGGGGTTGCTGGTGAATAGAGAGTAAACAGCGTAAGGAAACATGAATGCATTAAGTACAATATCATATGTAGATACCTCAGCAAGGTCACTATACACAGGAAAGCCTTTTATTCACTTAATTGCACTGTCCCACCCTGCCATCTGAGGAGCTCAGGAATGACAGAGCAAAGTCTGCTCAGCACAAAAAAGCAAAGTATTTATATGCACTAATACTAGAATGAGACTTGTTCCCTATTTGCTCTTCAACTACAATTCCCCACAACGTCAGAAAAAAAATCATGCATTGTTCCCAGTTCTCTACAGCACAGACTAGAAGCCTCCTTACCATTATTATTGGACAGATCTTCTTCATGAGGCTGGAAGCTGTTTAGAAGAGAAATCAGCCAGGGCCATATGCTACAAACGAGAAAACAGACAAACTGTAAGTGAAAACTACAGAACAGGGAAACTATTCACCTTACCAAGAAAACATTGAACTCTGTTACACAGTCACAGCTTCCATTAATCTTCTGATTCCCAAGAAAAGTTTCTCTCAAGCGTCAGAGAAAAGAGCACGTTCTTGAAAAAATTAACATTTTTTAAAAGTCAATTTAAAGTAACCAAGGAAGCCAGGCTCTTGCAGCATAGTGTTCATTACCCAGCAAGTCAGAAAGCCTACTACGAATTTAACTAGACAAACCTATTGCATGAGCAAATGTTCAGAGCACCTGCATGCAGTTCATGTTTTCCAGTCTAAAGCTGACTGCTCTCAAAGACACTGTAAATTAATCAGTTGAGAAGCAGAAGTCCTTCTGTTCTGTGAACATTAACACTGTACTGTAGCACTGAAACAGCCACCAAGAAGGTCTAAGTGAGGGCTGCACTGAGTAAAACCATTAAACTAGAGATTAACTGGAAGTCTCCCTGCCTTGCACTGGCAATACCAGTACAAGCAACAACTAGAAATTCTTTACAAAGGCCCTGGAGCAAATAATTCAAAAATCACAACAATCACTGCTTGGATGGTTAATATTTAACTGTCACCAACAGTCTGCTTTCTCCTATTTTTTTTAAAAGCTCCAACCCAAAAGTATAAGCATCCTGCTTCTGCTTTACTGACAGGCATGAAGTCCTTGAAGGCAACAGGCAAACTATTTTAAGGTGCCCACTGTGCTTGGTGTTAGCAAAAGGAATCTCCACCCTCCCTCAGCAAGGCTTTCAGTCATCATCCAGCACCTGGATAGGAGAATGCAACATGCACCCAAAAGCCTGAGGTCAGCTGCTTTCCTGTGCTGCTGCAGGGACTGGAAACATGATGTTTATGCTTATTCTCTACACTAAACTAAGCTCCTTCCCATGACTGACAAGGAACAGGAGGAGAAAAGGGAAAGTGCAATCATGTTGCAACCTACAGCAAACTGCAATCTTCCTGCACAACATCTGAAATAATGAGATTACGTAATGAGAGATCTCTAAAGAATGATGCAGTGACACATGGGAAAACCTAGACCACAGGGTAGGTTTGGAAAACTCATTTCCAAAGAGCACACAGTAGTATTCATAGAATCATAAGACTAGTTTGGGTGGGAAGGGACTTTCAAGACCATCCAAGTCCAACCCCCCTGCAGTGAGCAGGGACATCTTCACATCAGGTTGCTCAGAGCCCCGTCCAACCTGACCTTGAATGTTTCCAGGGATGGGGCTTCTACCAACCACCTCTCTGGGTAACCTGGGCCAGGGTTTCACCACCCTCAGTGTAAACAATTTCTTCCTTATACCCAGTCTGAATGTCTCCTCTTTTAGTTTAAAACCATCACCCCTCATCCTGTTGCTACAGGCTCTGGTGAAAAGTTTGTCCCCATCTTTCTCATAGGCTCCCTTTTAAGTATTGAAAGGCCACGGTAAGGTCTCCCCAGAGCCTTGTCTGTATTGACACAGTCATTTCTGTCCTCAGTTCTTGCCTTCAGACTCATCTCCTTTTCTAGGTAAACACATTTCCTTCCTGTTTCAGATGCTCATTCATTTTGAGGCAGGATTAATTATCCACAAGAAAATGATAAGCATAAAGTAGGAACAACTGAAAGTTTAAAGAGGAATAAAGATTATTTCTTGAATCGAGAGCACAATTAAAGAGGAATTCAGAGTAAGAAAGACTTTTCATTATAAAACAGACATTAAGTTATTAAACAGAGGCCAATAAAGGCATATGTGTGTGTGTGTGTGTAGTTTACAAAGAATGACTTTCATTACCATCTTCCAAGAGAAATAAAAAGGGAACTCTCATCCTACAAATCATGGGGAAGAGAGACAGTACACTGGATTTTTTTAGAGACAACAAATATAGGGGCTACTAACTAATGCCCATTTTGACAAATCTTAGCAGTATTTAACTTTCTCTTCAAGTTCACCTGTGCATTTTACAGCTACTTGCTGCCCACTTCACAACTCCTTTGTACGATGAGTACCTGAGAAGAACATGTTTTCCCACTACAGATTTAAAAGCCAGGCATGTTCTTTAAAGAGAGCCTGACAGATTTATGGGGAGAAGGACGTACAAAATATACATTCACACCTAAAGATTCATTTTGATAATCCATAAAGTACTGCCTGCATCTCCTCTCTGCAAGGACTACTTGATATCAAGAGTAACCTTCCCTATTAAAATACTGGTGTAAAGCCTTCAGCATATGCATCCAGGAATACTTACTACCATCTCAAAACAACTTGTAAACACTTATTTTCCTTAATCTTGCCTCCAGGAACTCTGAAACTGAAGTTCCCAAAGCTCCAGGCCTTTAGGTTTTGCACACCTTTGAGTGAGTCTTATCACTCATTTAGCAAACTGAGGTTATAGGGAGCCCTGCTCCCATACACCAACCTACAGAAAATGTCAGTCTTGGCTGGAATCACATCTTACAGCACACATTGCCAAGAGAGAGCTGAAACCACTGTGGCACACAGCACAAGGTCAGCTAAGCAAGGTGGTTTCACACTGTTTTCCTTACAGTGGCCATCCTAGGAAAAATATTCATCCAACTGTGTCAGTAACAGTCACTCCAATCTGAAGAAACATCTTACAGGGCAGAAACATTTTACTGACTTGCTATAATTCATGAAAAGTTAACGGGCTATGAAAAAAGTTGGTGACTTTAAAGACAGGATTAGAGGCAGAAGTGAAAATTCAGAGCAACAGTCCAGAACAGTAATGCCTGTGCTGACATTTAAAGACCCCCTAAACTAAATTCAATTTAATTCCTGGATGATGAACCAGGAAAACTGGATTCCAGCACTGCCCAAGAGATGGCTTAATGCATGAAATTAAGGCAAGTATTCTCCTGCCACTTACCTCAATAAATCTGAGAAATCATTACAACAGATTAGAACAAGGGTACACTCAGTAGTTATGCTCAAGTCAGACACTATAAAGTAGATTCCTCTGACCTTAATTAAAAAAAAGTTACATGCAAACCATTTTAAAAAGTGCATTTTCTCATGTAACCCACAAGTCTCATGTTTTGTTTTATGAACTTTGCAGCACATCCATTTTCTATCATCTTGACATCTGTAACAATGAGTTCTATGATCACTTTTTCCATTACTAATTTGTGTACCATCAGTTATTATTACTTTATACAATTAAATGTATCAAAAGAAAGATTAACACTCACTACCGTCTTTCATCCACCACTGCCTCCTGGAAAACACTGGGCCGAAGTTTCAGCCAGTCCATTGAAACCTTCACAGCTGGAAGAGGATATGCAGCCCCAGAGTCCTCCTGGTAGTCATTTTGTAAAGGACACTTGCACAGAACTCCAAGAAAGGACACTAGAAACAGAGCAGGGGAAAAAAAATAACCTAATCAAACACATTCCACCCATAAAACCCTGTTATTAAGAGCTAGTTCTTTAGAATAAAGCAGCCCAACTACTTAATCTTAAAAAAATCCACCAACAGATCAGAACACCTTTTTTCAATATGGAGTTTTCTACCATGAAGCAGAATCTTGGTGGTCCCCCCCCTCCCCTTTTTAAATGTCATGGCAAAACATTTTGGTAAGTTAACAAAATCCAGTGAGACAAGCCCATTACAAAAATACTCATTTGTTTATTTACTAGAAATCATCAACTCAACTATTTATTGTCATTTTATCCACTTTCCCAGGCGAGCAGGCACACAAATCCACGGGAGTTAGCTCTGCTGGTTCAGACCCCTTAGGGCACACAAGCTGAGAAACAGTAACCACACCAGTGAGACCGTGGAGCTCTCAGAATCAACTCCAGGCTGGCACCTGGAGAAATTCAGCTATTCAGGAATTTAGGTGTTTATGAATGAGGGCAAGCTCATCATGGGGAAGATGAGAGTAAGCAAATCAGCATTATGTGGTTAGAGTATTTATCTTCTGGTTGATATTATCAAGGGCACAGAAGCAACTGATGTCCTAGTTCGGTCAACTTCAACTTCAGTCCTGTTGAATCAGGATTAGCTCCATTCAAAGCAACTTAAACTGCAGAGCAGCCCCCCAGGCAGGGTACTACCCACCACCAAATTGGATCCAACTCTGAACACAAGTTCACAG